TATTCGCTAGACTTCTGGGGAGTCTCTGAAGAGGAGTGGGAAGGGGTTGGAAAGAATAGCAGACTTTCCCCCCTCAGGTACTCGCTGTGTGTCTGGCAGCTTCACAGTGACACCCTGAGGCTTACAGTGGAGACAGCTGACCCTTGTGGGGACTTCTGTCCCCCTCAGAGCTGCAGGTTGGTTTGAAGAATCACTTCCACTACAGAAGTGGTTCTCCACCTTCCTATCACTGTGACCTTTAATACAGTTCCTCACGCTGTGGCGGCCCCCAACCATAAGATTATTTTCATTGCTACTTCATAATTGTAAGCTTGCTGCTGTTGTGAATTGTAATGCAAATATCTGTGGGTTTTGATGGTGTTCGATGACTCCGGTCATTTGACCCCAAGGGGTGGCGACCCACAGGTTGAGAAACACTGCACTAGATGCTCAAAAGCCAAGTCACGGAGTTAGGCCACTGCTGTGAGGGGCAAATTGTTGTTGTTTGTTTTGGCTCTTTTGGCTTTTTTGAGGGGTCCATCACCCACCTGCCAAATAAATCACACACGGAGTCTTATTCTTACTTATGAATGTCTGGCCTTAGCTTGGCTTGTTTCTTGTCAGCTTTTCTTAGCTTAAATTATCCCATTTACCTTTTTGCATCTGGGCTTTTATCTTTCTCTTCTGTAAATCTTACTTTCACTCTTACTCCATGACTGGCTGGGTGGCTGGGTGGCTGGGTGGCTGGGTGGCTGGGTGGCTGGGTGGCTGGGTGCCTGGGTGCCTGGGTGCCTGGGTGCCTGGGTGCCTGGGTGCCTGGGTGCCTGGGTGCCTGGGTGCCTGGCCCCTGACATCCTCCTCTCCCTGTTCTCTTGCTCCCCTTCTTTCTTGTTTCTCTCTCTATGTATCTTCTCTGCCTGCCAGACCTGCCAATCCTTGCTCTTGCCTCGATACTGGCTAGCCTTCAGCTCTTTATTAGACCATCAGGTGTTTTAGACAGGCAAAGAATCACAGCTTCACTGAGTTGAACAAATGCAGCATAAACAAAAGCCACACACCCTAAAATAATATTCTATCACAGCAAAGTTCCAGCTTTTGTCAGAATTTTGCAGCATTGGGCAGTGAACCTGGGGACTCCACCTTGTTAGCAGCGGGGTCGGTCAGCTGTGTTTGCCGGTCTCCCCCAACAGCATCACCCTCTGCCCCAACTCCCCTTGGGCTCATGCTCAGGAAGTCTATTTGGCAAAGATGAGGAGCCCACTTTCACGTCTGGCCTCTGGATGCCTCTCCACTCAGTGCTGTTTGTCAGTCTGAGGTCTAATGAGGGGAGGCGGGAGCCTAGAACAAGGCAGGAGACAGTGTGAGCATCCGTCCGTCCGAGGTAGGAATAGCGAACCTGACAGGTATCAGAAGCAGGAGTAATTTTCCATTAATGTCCTGATTGAGGTTAATGGATTCAGGGGAGGTAGAGAGAGCAGTGCCGGGTAGGAGGTGAAGGAGGGATAATCAGAATGTGGCAACAGCTGGGTGGTGGGGTGTGAAGGGAAGGCGTGGTTGTTGACAACCCCCAAATGATAAACATCCCCGGAGAGATGGAGAAGTGGGGCAGAGAGGAGGGGACTTGTTCCCTCTGACACATCTGAGGTGCTGCTGGGCTGTGTGAATGGAGCAAGCTTGAGAACAGGAAATACAGGCCGGGACACCTGGGAAAGCAGACACCTACCTGCCTACCGGCAGCATAATTGCCAGGCACTGGGAAGCTTAGGGGTTTTCTAACTGAACAGGGCTGGCTGTTTGAGGAGTGGGTGGTGGTGGGCAGAGGTAGGCTGAGTCTGCGCAGTGGCAGGTGTAGAAGTCCAGACTCAGATCTGGCCTGTGTGGGTCCTCTCCACCCATAGTGGCAGACACCTTAGAGGGTCAAATGGACACACAGGACTCTGGTGGCCTCCAGCCCCATCGCACTCACTATAGATTTGAGCTGTATTGTGACTATGTGCAGGGACAGGAGAATGTGAGGAAGGTGTGAGTTTCTGTAATTTGTGCAAAAGTGTCCCATGAGCCCAGGGCCTCTGGGCTGCTTGTGAGGTTTTGTTTTAAATAAGCCTTGGGTAATAAAGTCTGCAAGGGTAATAGAGTCTGCAAATTTTCAGATCCATTCTGATCTGTGACTCACTATAGAGCCAGGGATGATTTTGTAAGCTGGGTGTTTTGATGCTGGTAGCATAGATGCTTGTGTATTCATTGTTTCATCTTCATTATATTATATGTGCAAGGGCCATATCCTGCCTTCATCTACTTCTAGAATTCTATTTCTACTTCTAGACTCAACATCTTTGACACACCAACTATCAGGGGCAAAGATGCAGATTTGCAGAGAAAGACTATTACCGTTCTAGTTGCTATGAGAAAATACCTGACAGTTGTGGCGTAAGGAAGGAGAAGTTTCCATTGGTTCATGGTTCAGGGTGTATGTAGTTCATCACAGTGGGAAAGCATGTGTTCGCAGTCAGGAAGAGAACTTCCTGTCTCCCCTTTAACTAGTAGGACCTCAGCCTATGGAATGCTACTACCCACACTTAGAGTGGCTTTCCCACCTCCTTTACCCAGTCTAGAAACTCCCTCAAAGACATGTCCAGAGGTTTGTCTCCTACGTGATCCTAGACCTGTCAAGATGACAGTTAATGTTAGCCATAATAGGGACCTCCTTCCCCCATACAGCTTCATTTTAATTTAAAATATTTAAAAAAACACAATAGCACTTGTAAGAGAATGAACAAATGGTACTTCTAGATGACAGAATATTTTACAGCCAGGGCTATTTATAGTCAATCATTTAATTACACAGGGGGAAAACCAAGGTGTCAAATTGTATGCATAATTGAGATTCATGTTACTTATTAATATATGTACCTAAGTAAGCATTGCATACATAAAAGCAGAAAGGAAATACACCCAAAAGTCAGCAATGGCTATTTCAAGATGGCAGAATCACATGTGATAGAATTTTTTTCCTTTACACTCATGTTAATTTTTCCAATGTTTAGGAAGCAAATAGATAATTGTGTTTTTAATCGTTGTGCTTCAGTTCAAGGGATCAGGACTCAATTTTTGACTGATTATATGAGACATAAATTATTCACTTGGTTTGATGCTGGTGAGAATAATCAAGTTGGGGCTTAGGAAGTGCTCCCAGCTGCCAGGCCAGCCATTCCTCTGCAAAGGGAGTTCATCAGAGAAGCCAGAAGAATGGAAAGAGCTCTGGCCTCAGGAGCCTTGGTTGAAACTCTAAACATATCAGCACCCAGGTCCAGGAGGCTGAGACATGGAAGGTGGGGTGCAGCCTACATGCATGAACCCCCAAGGGTTTCCCAGTTAATGAGAAAGGCCCTCTGTATAGTATTTAGATTAAGAAAGCCACCACCAAGGGGAGTAAAAGGGGCAAGCTCACTGCTTCATTAGTAGTCATTTAGGTTTTTACCTGTTTTTTTGGCTCCCTCTCTCTCTCTCTCTCTCTCTCTCTCTCTCTCTCTCTCTCTCTCTCTCTCACACACACACACACACATGCATATATATGAATATATATATTTGAATTTTTTAAAAAGTTCCAATAGTTAGTTTGAAAAATCACAGCTGGAGGAAGAGAAAGAGATGACAGAAAGAGGGGTGAATGGGAAGGTGAGAGCACTGGGTGGGGTGCCTGCTGGGAATGTATTGGTATATGTACTGACTTTTCCAATTCATTATTTTATTACTTTATATATGGGTGTTCTGCCCACATGTGTATCTGTGGACCATGTGCATGCCTGGCGCCTGCAGAAGCCAAAAGAGGGCAGTGAATCCCCTGGACCTGGAGCTGCAGATGGTTGTGAGCCACCATGCGGGTGCTAGGAATCCTTTGGAAGAGCAGCAAGTGCTCTTGACCACTGAGGCCCCACTCCAGCCCCTGCACTGACTTAGTTAACCACCTTCACAGTGACTATCAAGGAGGCACCCTGCTTGCTACTGGGTTCCTCTTTCTCCTCTTTATCTTGTCCCTCCTCTTCCTCCTCTGTTGGGGGAAGTCCTGTGTATTTGTCAATAAAGCACTGTTGGCCCATAGGGAACCAAGATAGGTGGGACTAGGAGTCCAAGAGGACTCTGGGAAGGAGAAACACGAGATTTGAGATGTAACCGCCATGGGGTAGGAAGCCCGGAACTATTCTCCGGTAAGAGAAATACTCAGATTAACAATTATGGGGTAATTAATTAAGTCAGAGCTAGCCAGTAAGAAACAAGCAAAGGCCAACAGCTTCATAATTAATATAGCCTCCTGTGTGTTTATTTGGGACTGATGCGGTTCTATAACCAGGCTGGGGGGAAGGCTCCTCTCAAGGAAAAAGCTTCTCTTTACACTCCTCCTCTTCCTGTCTCTCCTTCTCTTTCTCTCCCCACTTCCTCTTTCTCCTCCTTCCTCCTCCTCATCTCCCCCCCTCCCCCAGAAGAAACAAATTGAGCTAAGCACTAGATTGATCCCAGTACTAGAGAGGCAGAGGCAGGGGGATCTCTGTGACCTTAAGGCCAGCCTGACCTACATAGTGAATTCAAGGACAGTTACATCTATGTAGAGAGACCCTGTCTGGGGGTAGGGGTAGGAGGAAGAAGAGAGGACAGGAAGGGAGGGGAAGGGGAGGGGAGGGGAGGAGAGGGAAGGAGAGGGAAGAGGGGAAGAGAGGAGAGGAGGGGAGGGGAGGGGAGGGAAGGGGAGGGGAGGGAAGGGGAGGGGAGGGAAGGGGAGGGGAGGGGAGGGAAACAAGGGTTGGAAGAAAGTGCAGAATTTCTGCCAAGGTCACAAACACTCATTCAAAATTCCATGTAAAAAATGAAGTTGCTCCAAGGCTATAAACCACCTCTTTTCTCCAGGTGATTTCTCTGTACAAATAGTAACTGCCTATAGTTACAGATAATAGTAATGGTGACACAAAGAAAGGCGACATAGACTTCATAGTTTCCCCAAGAAATACACTTTGGGGTCTGCTAATGTCTGCACAGGCTCCAAGTTACAATAGTCAGTATAACTTAGCCAGGTCTACTGTAAAATCCCATCAAGCTCCCTGCTGAGATGAGGGTCTTATTCCTCAGTGCACAGGGCCTCTCTGGGTTGGAAGTCAGTGCTGAGGAAGGTTAGGGCGCTCCGTATTTTTAAAATAGTTACGGAGAAAGAACTTCGTGGAATTGCTAGGAACTACAGCCAGCTCCCAGTAGACAGGGAATTTTCCACAATCTCTTTGCCAGCAAGGGAGGGTGAGCTCAGGTTACAAAGCCAAGTGAGAAGGGCCTGCAGAAGAGTGGAAGCTGAGCCCAAAGCCCTGTGTGGGCAAGCGCTTACAATGAGGACCAGCTTTTGTGCTCCTAAAAGCCTAGTGGAAGCAGCCAAGTGTCTTGGACTAGATCTGATTGCTTTTGAAAAAGTTCACCAGCTTGGGACTCTTGCCAGAGAAGTTGTGTTTAGTTGGAGTGCCCAGGGTGAGAGAATGGGGACAATGACAGTGCCTCGAGTGCCCGGCCTTCTGCTCAGCCTCTGGTCACAGACAGTGCCCCAGCGCCATGCCTTCTGCTCAGAACACTGGTCATAGAGCTTCCTTTACTTGAGCCAGTAGCTCATGGCCCAAGCAAAAGCTGGAGAACAAATCGAAGACGGAGACTTGCAAAAGCACCCTGTGTTGAGTGTGTATGCTTGATCTTCAGAACCTCCCCAAATACTGTTCAGCTTGAATTAGAGAGAAACCAACCATCTGAAGGGGAAAAACAAACAAACAAACAAAAAAGGAATGGACAGCCAGGCAGCTCACATCGGATCCACCTGGGATGCAGAGGCACGAGTCTACGTCTGGGGGTTGAATACTGGCGAACCCAGAAGGTCAACTGTTTCTTCCTTTGCAGTCCCTTTGCTCCCTTCAACTGAGCCAACTGTTCTCTGTCAGCAGTGAGTTAATGTGGGCTTTCCAATCATGCAGTATCTAGGGACATTGGTGAATTGTTGTCAGGGTGTTGGATACAGACCATGGTCTGTAGGATCCCTCTGAGGCAGATAAGTACAGGAAGTACCTTGGCAACCAAAGCTTGGCTTAAGCTATAAGAAAACCCCTTTTCTAACAACCCACTGGGAAACCTAGGACCCTCACCTGCATGCACTGTGTGTACCTTCGCCTCTGTACAATGCACCGAGAAACTTATTGGTAACCTGGGACCCCCTGCACCAGGCTGCTTGTATATCTGCCCCCTACCCCATCTATTTAGTTTATGTCTATGGATCCTTTGCTTGCATGTATGTGTGTGAACCATGTGTGCACCTGGCGTCCTTGGAGGCCAGAAGAGGGCATGGGATTCCATAGAACTGGAGTTTGAGACAGTTGTGAGCTGCCATTCAGGTGCCGGAATTGAGTACGGGTCCTCTGGAAGAGCAGCCAGTATGTTCTTAACTTCTGAGCCATCTCTTCAGATCCTGTATACCTGCTTTAAACAACTGGAAATAAGTTACTGACTTTAGTAACCCTTTGATAATGCCCGTCTCTATTAAGCATGTCACAGAAACCAACAGAAAAAGAGGAGAGGAGGACACCGGGGGCCAGTCACCCAGACACACATCCAGACAAGGAGTAAGAAGGAAAGAAAGATACACAGAAATAGAAAAAGGCAAAAGCCCAGGGGCAAAAGCTAGACAGGAAATTTTAAGTTAAGAAAAGCTGGCTAGAAACAAGCCAAGTGAAGACTAAGTCTCCATATACTTATTCGAGAACAGGGTGGTGGGTCGGCAAAGAGCAATGAGTAAAAAAAAAAACTGCACCACCATGCATCCTGTCGTGACAAGAATGCACTAAATTTCTGAAACAGTAAGCCAGCCCCAATTAAATGTTTTCCTTTATAAGAGTTGTCATGGTCATGGCGTCTCTTTACAGCAATAGGAACCCTAACTAGGACAGAAGTCAAGAATCTGAAAATACTAGGCCTGATCCTCACCACTGGTAACTGCTCTTATACTTATTACTGTCAGTTTTCTATGAAATAATTATTGATGTAAAAAGAAGCAGACAAAGAAAAATTATTTTTTGAGAAAAGGTCTCCCTGTGTAGCCCTGACTGGCCTGACACACACAGAGATACTCTGCATCTCAAGTGCTGGGATTATAGGAGTCCTACCATGCCTGCTTGTAAACACTTAGTATTATTTCTTATGTCATTTGCACGCATGTTTTGCCTGTGTGCATATATATGTACCATGTGTGTGTTTGGTGTCTGCAGAGCAGAAGAGGGATCCTCTGGAGCTGGAGTTACAGATGGTTGTTAGTCACCATATGGGTGATAAGAATTGAACTAAGGTCTTCTAGAAGAGCAGCAAGTGTTCTTAACCACTCTCCAGCTCCTGCAAACACTTATTTTGATAACAATTGACCTGAGAGAGCGGTGGCCTTGCTGTATCTTTTCTGGTAGACTCCTTTATTTACGAGAAAGAAATTTGAGGAGAGAAGAAGAAAATCCAGTAGTAGGCCACACACTGACTTCTTGGGTCTGATTTTCCTGGGGACAGAATGGCTGCACACATTTCTACAATCTTGTCCCCAGAAGGGTATATTTGAGAGGAAAGGAGCCGCCACAAAGAAGTCAAGCTTTTCATCATGCTTTTATGACTGCTGAGCTAATATGGACAGAATTTTATCCCCTTTTTTATTATTTTACTCAACTTATCTGACACCCATCTCTTTTCAGCCCATAAAAGTTGCCACTGTTTCTGCCAAGCCTTAAATAAGAGCTTAGATTATTGTGATTTTCTACATAGAAATTCATTTTCATAAAGTCTTCCAAGGCTTCCCAAGGTTGACTAAGAAGGGGTATAGCAAAAGCTCCTTCTTCTTCTTTTTTTTTTTTTTGGTTTTTCGAGACAGGGTTTCTCTGTATTGTTTTGGAGGCTACCGGTCCAGCCCAGCCTCAAACTCACAGAGATCCACCTGCCTCTGCCTCCCGAGTGCTGGGATTAAAGGTGTCGCCACCACCGCCCGGCGCAAAAGCTCCTTCTTACAAAATTAATTTTATTATTAAACTAATTTTGTTTGTGTATATGCAGGTGTTTGTGAAGGTGTGCGCGCGCGTGTGCGTGCGCGCATGCGATGTGACTCCAGCACACACTTGTGCTTGCCAAGGGCTAAGAACATGTGTGGGGACCTTTGCATTACTCAGCCTTCATGTTGTGTGGACTTAGTTTAGTAAAGAAACTTGGATCACGGGGATAATTTGTCTCTCATATACATTCAGTGAATTTTGTCCCTGGTTATCAATGCTAAAACTAAGGTGTAAACATCATATTAGTTATCATGAAATAGACAAGATATCTGCCATAAGAGGAAATGGATAGCATTGCTTCCAAGGCATAAACTTGGTCCCAAGGGCTGAGCATGTGTCGATGAGCTTCTTGATGTGTTCAAGTGGCTCCGGGCAGTTGGTGTGCACAGACATTGACGTGGTTTGTGGGTATATCAGGATTCCCACCTCCCTTGCTCACCCCACCCCCACAGCCAAAGGGAACATCATTGACCTTATTGATAGTTTAATGTGACGATCTTAAATTACCAGCCAGGGCCTGTTGAGACTGTCCCTTCGGAAACAGAGTCATTCTCAAGTATAAATGTCAGCAACGGCTGAACTTTTAGAAGCTTCAGTATAGGTCCACGGTCCTGCTTTGGTTTGTTTTGAGACAGACTCTCACTATGTAACTCTTGCTGTCCTGGAACTCGTTATGTAGTCTGGCTGGCCTCAAATTCACATAGATCCACTTGTCTCTGCCTCCTGAATGATGGGATAAAAGGCGTGCACCACTGTGCCCTGCTTCCATGACCTGCAGATGAGTAGGAAGACACGGGGTTCCCTTCCTCCAACCTGTCCTGGGCAGCAGACACTAGGACCAAAATTCTCGAACATGTGTTGACCTTAACTTTAAATGACCTACGTGGCCTGCTAGTCACCGAGTTTTTGTAAGGCTGGCCAGGAGGGCTTAGAAACCAAGGAACTTCAAGTGGCAGGTTTAGATGAATTATCCAAAGCTGGACAGGGCTCCTCTCGCTCGCCTCACACATCAGTACCAGGTTTATATTGCCCATGGAAAAGACTGACTTGAATATAAACTGTAGCAGGCTTACACTTGCTGTCTGTGCCTCTCGGGGCCAAGGGGACCATTTCTAGGGAAGAGACTGTCTCCGGGGGCATTGGACCATAGCTGGAGCCAAGCAGGGAATGCACCAATGCTCCAGGGTTCCAGGTCCTCCATGATTTTCTTTACCCCAGCCCCTCTCTCATGTAGTCAGCTACAGGGCTATCCTAAGTCGTGGGAGCAACTGGCACTTACCCCCAGGGCTGGGAAAAATCTTTTTTTTTGTCTTTGATTATAGATGCTGGGCCTGGAAGGATGGGGACAGCCTGGAGTCTGGCCCAAGCCGCAAGCTTTCAAGGCCTTAGTCTTCAATAAACAGCTACAATGCTAAATGTCTGGATTCAGCTTTTTTCTGCTGGGTAGCCTGTGGTTGCCATGGATATGGCTTTGTCTTTGGAGGCCCACAAGCAAGGAGGAGTTAAGTAAATCCTAATGGGTCAACATTTCCATAAAACTAGAAAGAAAAAAAAAAGAGAAAAAGGGCACACTTTCTTAAAAAACTCCAACAAAATCATTAAACAGTTCCAAATTAATGACCAAAATACCAGCAAAATCTTCAGGTTTTCCTGGCCAGAACTTAAACAAGTGTGCAGAATTGGAAAGACAAAGTTCTACTAACAGCCCCGATGGCGGAAGTGAAAATGATGGTGTCCCGCCCCCTTGAGTGTTTTGGACAATAAAAGGTTCCCTTTCTTCTTTCTTGCCAGCTTGTTTTCCAGAGTGTTTCTTAAGTTGCCATTGGTGTGATCTGTCCTATTCCACCCAATGCATGAGGCTGTGTTCCTAGCCAACAATGGTGTTTCTGTCTGCTCCCGGGGTTTGGTGACATTTGGTGATGGACAGACTGAATTAAGAAGGCTTAAAAAAGGAAAGAAAGCAGAATGACTTGGGTCTGCATTGTGACCAGCTCCAGTGTCTTTGATGACATGGACACCCTTTGGGTGGCTCGTAGGTCACTTCAGAGGAGGGGACTGTGGCTTGGAAAAGCAAAGGCCACAGGCTGGGAACCAGAATGCAGGCACAACCCCCATGAGCTCTGGGTCTTGGCCCAGGAAAAGCCTTGTTTCGGCGGCTGCTCTTTGGAGCGTGTTTCTGCAGACGACACTGCCTTGGCCAGGAGGAATGTGCTGGCTTCTGGGATGAAGACACCAGGCATGCTGGGTCCCTGGCTTGCCCCCTCATCTCCGAAGGCGCATGCACAGTGTTCTTCAGGCCAGCATCAGGAGGCTGCCCCTCCCTTCCCTTCAACACCTAGCCTGTGTCATCCATTCCCCCTTTCCTCCCTGCTGCTGCCGGGAACTGCAATCGCCTGGGACCCTTTTAACTGGAGCGGGGGGGGGGGGGGGGGAGGTGATGCTAATTTCCTCTCGAATGCTTGAGTTTTCACACGTTTGTATGTAGACACCTGCTCAGTTCTCAGCCTCTGAAGACTTCTCCCCGAGTCTCCACTACCATGTCACCTGGCAATCATTGCAGAGTCCACACGGAAGGCCATGACACACTTGTCCTGACTTCAGATGCTCCCATATAAAGCCCTCGCTGAAGACAGTGCCCCCCACTCCCCACCCCTTGCCACCAGGGTCAGCTGACAAAGAAGAGGCACCCTGCTGTGTCTGGTGGATTTGAGAGAAGAGACACCACCCACAGGTAGGAATCTACCAAGGTTGCTATCCAGCTGCAAATAACTGAGCGGCCAAGTTCGTGCTGGGGGTGGGGATGGAGGGTCAGACACCACATGACAGAGAATAGAGACCCTAATAGAGACATGGCTGCTAGGGACCTCTTAGCTTGGCAAGGTTTGTTTCAAGGAGGGTCTGAGAGCCCCAAGGTGGCTTTGGAGGGAGAGGATGAATGGGCCATTTGCCAATGAGGCTTTGATGTTCGGTATTTGACCCTCCATATGGTTCCATATGGTTTCTCCAGGACTGTCACTAGAGATGGATTCCCTGCAAAGGCTGAGGGCTGGTCTGGTCTTTTCTGGCCTCAGCCTCACACAGACAACTTTTATCTGGATGAAAGGGACTTTATCTGTAAAACGAGAAAGGAAGGAGTCTGAGGTTTGGGTTTTAAGTTTTCTTGCGCAGGTGACACCCTAATTTGTACATGAGCTCGGATCCCAATGAAGGAGCGGTGAGAGGAAGGCTCGTGGTGGCGAGGGAAGGGCCGTGGAGACTCTGACTTTGAACACAAACAAAGGAGGGGGGAGGGGCACCGTCGTGAAGGGCACCAAAGAAGCAGGGATCTGTATTGGTGTCGGAATGCTCAAGTCCAGAATGCGCTAAGCCTGTGAAACAGCCGCTGACAGGAGAATAAAGCCACCGAGTCTGGGAAGCATTCTCATTTAAATGATCTCATGCAGCCTCACAAGGACCCTGGAAGACAGGGATGGGAGTCCATCCTCTGAGCTTGTAGGGGCCAAGCTGGGATTGGAGCCCAGTTCATCTCCCGCCAAGCGCCTCCCTGCATTCTACAGCTCATTCTGACTCTGGATGAGGCTGATGAGAGGGAGGACCCACCCCACGGGATAGTGGGATGCTCTCATCTTTTCCTTCAGTGTTCATCACGAAGTAAAACTCTTCAAAGCATGGAACAAATTTCTCTGCGGAAGGACTTTAAAAGATTCCTCTTTAAGATTTGTTTTTATTTTATGTGTATGAGTATTTGCTTGCACGTGTGCCTGTGAACCACGCGAATGCAATGCCCATGGAGGCCTAAAGAGGGTGGCAGGTCTCCTAGTAACGGAGATACAGCCAGTTGTGAGCTGCCATGTGGGTGCTGGGAATTAAACCTGGGTCCTCTGGAGGTGCTCTTATCCACTGAGCCATATCTCTTCAGACCCCATCCCAACTCAGCAAGTCTTTTGAGGATCCTTGCGCTCTCTGAGAAACCCAAGGCTTGTCATAGATGGCTATTTCCACAGGACTTTCTTCCTCTAGATTTCCACAGCGCTTCTCAATCCAGGGCCGACTTGCCCAGCATCCATGTTACTCACTAGCCCTCAGCTTCTTGGATAGAGGAGCCACGGTCCATCCTTCATTGACTCCCACCCACAGCACAGACTCTAACTGACCAGGGATGTGCCAGCAGCCATCGCTGTAAAATGGCATCGATGCCACAAGAGACAGTGAGGTTGTCATCACTCAGCAAACCGAGACAAAAGGTAGATTCCAGACTCTACATGCCATCTGGATGACATTCATCCCAGAAGTGTTCTCAGGTTCAGAGATGCAAAGTGAGTCCCATAAGCTCAGCTCATGTGTGGCACAAACCAGGCTCGGACACAAAGCTGTGATGTCTCAAGCACAGAAAAAGGGGATTTGAGGCAACATCCCTTCTCAGATTCCCAGGTCTGCTTTTTGGATGAGTTGTTCCATTAAACATCTGGGCATATTAAGAGGAGTTTACACTCCGGGAGCTGTGGGAAGAATGCATCTTCGACAATGGAGGAGGATGTATTTAACTGAAGTTTAGCATCCCGGCCTTGTCAGTACTTCCTGCTGCAATTACAGGAGTACTGTCGGCAGAGTACTCGCTGGGGGACTCTAAGATGATGGGGGATGTGGATGTGAAGTTAGGTTTCCAGAAGGATCTTCAGTTTCTCTCTTCTGGTTGGGAAGTTGAAGGTAGCTTTCTCATTTCTGTAAGCATTCTTGAGGGTCTGAAAGGAGCAGACATGGGAACCGTCTTACACTTTCCCCTTCTAGTTTAAATCACTGTGGTCTTGTGTCTCCTATTTGCCCCTCAGTACACCTAGGACATTGACATCTGCTCCCTGCCTCAGGCCGCCATCCCCAGGATTGGCCTGGCGTCACTGGAGCCTCTGTACAGTACAGTGAGTGTCTTTGGGGAGAGTACCTCTGACTGTGGGGGCCTGTGCTTTCATTTGTGTATGTATGTGTACATCTTTGTGGTACCAGTGCCCAGACCTCACACAGGTTCTAGGAATCTGAGTCCCCTCTTTCCTATTGGACGGCCAGTGCTTCAACCAACTTACTCTTTGAGCTAAAGTCTCTCACTAAACCCGGAACTCACTGATCTGTCTAGACTTGCAGCTGGCGAGTCCCAGTGACCATCCTATTCTGCATGCCCAGTGCTGGGGCTGTAGATGTGCACCACTGCTCCAGGCTTTTACGTGGGTTGTGGGAATCAAACTCAGGTCCAGAGGTTTGTGTGGCAGCTACTTCACCAATGCAGCCATCTCACCAGTCCCCAAGAACTGTGCTTTCTTTATACCATGCCTGTCACAGTCTGAGATGTTATCTTTTCTCCGTTCTCCCATTCCTTCATCATCATCTATTCTTCCTTGTATGTGTCCCTCTCTACCAGTGCCCTACGCAACCCCCCATACCGTGGAGAGCTTGCGCAGGCGCTGGGCATCTGTTGCAGGAGGACCTTGTCTGCCTGCTTACCTTCTTGGCTGCTTTGGCTCAGGCTACTCAGGGACACGGAAATCATCTATTTTCAACAGACCGGGACCGGTCAAGGGCAAGCTGAGACCACTTCAAAGCGCTTTGATATCAGCAAGGAGTATTAATGTTTCCAGAGGACTCTCATGACCTGAAAACAAGCCAGTGAGCAGCCCAGATCACATGTTCCAGAGACATCTACAAAGCTGGGCTTCCATCTTTAGATGAAACCCCAGGGAAAGCCGAGAAAAAGAAAGGGGATAAGTTCTCTCTGAGAATGTGAAAAAGGACTGCTGGGACTAGATAAGCTTGCACAGGGCCTCTGATTTAGCCATTACTACAAAATAGCTATTACTCAGGTGATGTTGTCACCTGATTGGTATCCATGATGGGGTCAAGGTTGGGCTGGAGAGAAAGCAAGGGGCAGGTCAATACAGACAAGCTTGGCTGGCAGAAGAGGGAAAAGGTCCCAGGAGGTATTGGCTCAACCTCCAGATTCCTGGGGGTTTCACAGAGCAACACGGACACATTCCTTCTTTTAAAACCTCAGTTTGGCAAACTGGAGGTGGGGCTCTCTCAGTGGGAAAGATGGGAAGAAGTCTAGCCTTCTCGTACCTTCCCAGAGTTCATGGCAGCTATGACAGTGTTGACCCAGATGCCTTCTCTCTCTGCCGTCTTTGGACATTGCCCTCATCTGCATGGAGGCCACTACAATATGTGCATTTAATTCTGGAGAGTTAAAGGGAAAGGACCCCCAGTAAAATGGGAAATATACCATTTGTTCACTTCCTGTTGTCCAGAATTTTGATGGCCATACTTAAGTTGCAAAGGAGTCTGGAAGAGGTGACTTTTAATTGGCTCAAATTCTACAACCATGGAATTAAGGAGGGGGAAGGACATGTCAGGAGACAGCCCCTGTCATAGGTAGCTTCAGCCATCAACTTGTCACAAACCTAGAGTCACCTGGGAAGAGGAAACCACAGCTGAAGAATTGACCAGATCAGATTGACTATGGCAAACCTATGAGGCATTTTCTTAATTATTTTTATCATTGTGCGTTTTTCGAGACAGGGTTTCTCTGTGTAGCCCCTGTTGTCCTAGAACTTGCTCTGTAGATCAGGCTGGCCTCTAGCTCAGAGATCTGCCCACCTCTGTCTCCTGAGTACTTGGATTAAAGGCGTGCACCACCTGCCATTCTCTTAATTACTAAGGGATGCAGGAGTAGCTTATCCACTGTAGGTGGTGCGGTTCTTGGGTTGTATAAGAAAGGTAGCTGAGCGAGCCAGAGCGAGCAAGCTCA